GATCTCTATTCCAAGTACTCAATCTTGCTATTGTAGTATGAAAGCAGCCACAGACAACATCTAAAAGAGTAAATGTGGCTGCATTCCAACAAAACTTTATTTAGAGGCCCTAAAATTTGAATTTCATATCATTTACACACATCCCAAAATATTTTTTTCAAAATATTTAATGTAAAAACACTTCTTAGCTCTTGAGTAGAACTTAATAGGCAATAGCAGGTAGCAGGCCAGATTTAGTCTTTGATCTATAGTTTGATGATTCCAGATCTAGACTACAAAATTGTGTCAACAAACAACTTCCCATTCCTTATAAGGCCTCCAGCAGTAAATATCTGAGACTGATCCTGTCCTCTTTTCTTTTATTCTGGAGGCCACTGTATATCTTTGAAAAATCTAGCCTCTAAGTAACATATCAAACATAAGACTTAACTACTGGTACTTGTTTCAAGGCACAGTGTTGGCATGGATTAAGATGCTTTTTCTCAAAGCAGAGTAACTATCTGTAAATAAAGGTGGATGTGGCCCTGGCTGGTTTGGCTCAGTGGGTAGAGTGTCGGCCCACAGACTGAAGGGTTCTGGGTCCAGTTCCAGTCAAGAGCACATACCTTGGTTGCAGGCTCAATCCCTGGCCCCAGTCGTGGCACAGGGTGGGAGTAGCCAATCGATGTGTGTCTCTCTCATTGATGTTTCTCTCTCTCTGTCTTTCCTCCTCCCTTCCACTATCTCTAAAAATCAATGGAAAAATATCTTCGAGTGAGGATTAACAACAACAACAAAGTGGATGTATAGTGGGGAAGGTCTCAGTAGCAGAGCACAACCAATACAGCTTTGACTGTCTAAAAAACACACTGGACAAAACCAGGCCAGAAGCATCACCCCCTCTCATCCCGCTCCACCCCCTCCCCCAAAAAAGGAGGAACTTAGATTGTATCTTTCAAAAGTCCTTTCCTAGGTGATGTCTCCTCACTGATATATCTCCCAGCAGAGAAAGTGCAGGAAAAGCAGCAGCTTACACACTCTTTATGGGGGAAAGCAAACAAACAGAAAACACAGAACTATCAGCACAAACATTATAGCCACCACTCTGGTATTTTCAAGAAACCTCTTTGGCTATAGTTTTAGCCAAACCTAGAAAATTAGTCTGAAACCGATTTCTATTTGTGGCTTAAAAAAAAAAAAAAAAATCAACACAGCCTCATCCACTGTTAATTTCTAGAATGGCATGCAACTCTGTCTTAAGAAAAGAGTTACTATACAGTTCCGATACCATAAGTCTCTAAAAACCTTCTAATAAAGATAATATTAACTTCAAAATAGATATAGATGTTTCCCTGAGTTCAAAGAATTAAATGGAGGTTGGGGTGGGGGCCACGGATATGGTACAGGATATAGCCCACACGTCTGAAGACCATTATATACCAAGAAGCCAGAATCTTTTACATGTTAGTGCCAGCTCCTGACTAATTCATAAATCATTCCTCCAAAAAAATGCAGGCTTATATAATCTATGCCTGGTGTCCCACCATGTCCTAGAACCACAGAAATATTAAACACTAGCTTTGTCAGGAGCCAAATAATCAACAATTTGGGGAGAAGAAATCATTCAGGCCCTGAAATTGACTTCAATTTGAAATGACTCTGCAGGAATTTTGCCCGCTGTTATCTTCCCTGGTCAGACCTGTGCTTTTTGTTGTATTGTTACATTTACTGTGTGTGTGACAAAGTTGTATGCATTTCTAGAATGACATACAACTCTGTATTGAAGAGTTACTATAGAGTTCCGATACCATAAGTCTCTAAAAACTTTCTAATAAAGATAATATTAACTTCAAAATAGATATAGATGTTTCCCTGAGTTCAAAGAATTAAATGGAGGTTAGGGTGGGGGCCATGGGTACACTTACTGTGTGCGACATACAAAAAATACTAAATGTAAATTGTTACATTGTGTGTGACAAGGCTCTGGCCTAGCTCTAGATGTTGGGTAAGAGCCCTAGAAGGCAGGATACTACCAAGCCAAAGAGCAATCATCTTATTATGTAAAGACCTTAAATTGAGAGATTTCATAATATGCAGTGGTTGTTTCCCAGACTCTAACCCTCTCCCAAACCCTCATTGCCATCACCAATCATGAACTATTCCACAGAGCTTTCCTGGACCATGAAGGAAAACTTTTTAGAGAATGTAAGTCACCAAAACTTTTAATAATGAGTTAGTGGCACAAAAAGGACCAAACAATTGGGTCTCTATGGCTCTGAGTGCCATACAGGCCACTATTCAATTAGCAAAGAATCTGTCAGGATGAATCAGACTACCAGCTAATAGAATGGTGAGGAAGGGGCTGACCAAGCTCAGGGCAATTCAAAGAGGCTTTCAAAAACCAACTTAACAAGTCTTGTGAGCTTTATTTAAATGTGATGGGAAAGCTACAAAATAGTTCTTTCAAGCTTTCAAATCTCCCTTCTGATCTGCCAATCTTGAGAGAAGAAAAGGGAGGTTCTAAGAACAAGAGGCATCTTCAGGCACTGAGAGTGCTACAAATACAAAGCAAAGCACGCACACAACTTCTCCAATGCAGGCTTGCCTGTTCCCATGCAGGCTCTGTCTAAAGCCATGATAAAAGCAGCTGGGGATGCCCTAACCAGTTTGGCTCAGTGGAGGGAGGGACAGCCTGTGGACTGAAGGGTCCTGGGTTGGATTCCAGTTAAGGGCACATGCCTGGGCTGCAGACTTGATCTCCAGTAGGGGGCATGCAGGAGGCAGCCAATCATTGATTCCCTGTCATTATTGATGTTTCTCTCCCTCCTCTCTCTCTCCCTTCCTCTCTGAAATCAATAAAAATATATTTTTTAAAAAGCAGCTGGGTTGAGTGGAGGGTTTTTTCAGTTCTCAGAAGGGGAAACACATAATGAAGCAAATTAAAGCAAAAGAAAATCACAAAAAGCTGTTATTTCACTGATTATCCAGCTCTATCATAATGTCTACCACAGAGAACTTGACTTCCGTAGGCAACCTGTGAGGAAGTTACCAAACAATAAAATACAATAATGATTAAGATGCAAAAAATCATAATCAGATAAAAAATTAGATAACTGGCTAACTAAAAGCTGGCTCTAACTGTACTCACTGTTGGGTTATAGTGGCAGACACTGGAATAGAGAAAGATGATAAAAAGAACATCATCCTAGAGTCCCTTCTCCAGATAGCAGCCAGTTAACTTTTTTTTTAATGTTTTTATTAACTTCAAAGAGGGAGGGGGAAAGAGATAGAAACATCAATGAAAAGAGAGAATCATTGATCAGCTGCCACCTGCATACCCTACACTGGGGATCGGGTCTGCAACCTGACTGGGAACCAAATTGTGACCTCCTGATTCATAGGTTGATGCTCAACCACTGATCCATGCTGGCCAGGCCAGCTAACCCTTTTAAAGGAAGTCAAGCACAGTCCCTCTGTGCTCAAAGCCCTCTGTTGTGAGTTGATCTGGATTCCCTCAAAAAAGATGTGTCGAAGCCCTAACTCCCAGTGTTTGCTAACAGTAACTGCAGATGTGACCAAGTTAAGATGAGGTCATACTGGATTAGGATGGTCCCTAAACCCAATGACTGGTATCCCTGTAAGTATGCCATGTGAAGACACAGATAAGTAGAGAGAAGAAGGCCATGTAGTGAAGGAGGCAGAGACTATCATAAGCCAAAGAACACTAAGAACTGCTGGCAACCACCAGAAGTGAGAAGAGACAAGGAAGAATTCTTCCCTAGGATTTTTGGAGAGAGCGTGGCACTGCTGACACCTTGATTTCGGACTTCTAGCCTCCAGAACTGTGAGAATACATTCCTGTTAAGCCACCCAGTTTGTGGCCCTTTCTCAAGGCAGCCATAGGCAGCTAACACAACCTCCACTGGCTTCCTATCTCAAAAAGAAAATCACAGCATCATTACAATATGATCTGTACCGCCCCTTATCTGGTTGACTTCAGCAACTACTGCTCTCTGTCTCATCACTCCACTCCAGCCACACTGTCTCCTCTTCTCTGGTCCTCAAACATGAGGCCACACGGCCACGCTCCCACCACGGGCCCCACTCTGTCAAGGCTGGCCCTGTCTCAGACCTTTGCAGATGCCATTCCCTCTGCTGGAAGGTTCTCTCCCCAGGAATCTGCAAGGCTATTCCCTCAATCTTTTTTCAAGGCTCTGCCAAGACTCCTTATCATTAAACCTCCATCTAATTACCCTTCAGCATCTCCTACCCCCTCCCCATATACCCTATGCCTCTTTCCCAGAGTCATTTGTTCTCCATAATACTTGAGACAAGCTAGTGAAATTCACTTAGCTTTTAAAAGGTCCATGGCCCTCTACAGTGAGAGCAGAACTTTTTCCCTGCTGAATCTCAGTGCACTCTACTGAGCAAATGAATTCTATCAAGACAGGTGAAATTTTACTCCAAACTGGCTGAGTGACAAAAAAGATTTCTGCTAATTAAGTGGAACAGCAGAAGCCTTTGTAGATAAAGAGCAGGCTCACCACCATTCCTGTGTGAAGAAGAGCAATTTTGAAACAGCCTCTTAAGATTCCTCCTTATCTACAAAATGTCGACTCTCACCTATAATTTTTGTCTCCAGCCACACCCTGCAGAAAGCTACTTAGCCTGGGAAATTGGTCAAGTCAAATCTAAACCTGCATCCACCACTGCATTCCTACACACACGTTTTTGTTTTGTTAGGGGCCGAGGGGAAGGGCCCAGCAGGTAGGTTTTGATGATGACAATCTCATACTACAAATGCACAAACTACTTGGGGAAGGAAGCCTCTCAGACTACCAGGATCCTAAAAAACAAACATTTCAAATAAACCGGGAGCTTTAAAACTGCTCTTACACAATGATGAGACGATCTAAATGTTTGGGTTTTTTTAATGGCCCTACATCAATACTTTTCCCTCCCTCCTTTACATTTTCAAAACTTTAGAGCAAAAGAGGCAGACAATGAGAGTCTTTCCTCACCTTGGGTTTTGGCCACAGGTCCTACTGATCCGAGTGACGAATCACAGCAGTCCTTGAGAGGTGTCTTGATGGGTGTTTCAACTTCAGGCGTCTCAAAATTACCTTCAGAATCCGAGCTGCCAAGGGGGAAAAATGAGGGATTACCACTTTCAACGGCATTTCCGACAGCCTTGACAATCTATCAAAACGGCTATGAAGTCCGGGATTTTTGCCTGACGACACAACCTACTGGTCCTCGGCACCGATTGGCCACGGCCCCGATGCTGCGGATATTTGTCTGGCATCCCGTCTCCCTGAATTCGCCACCATCCTTCCGAGCGTTTCAATCCAGCACCATGTATGTGGATGTCCTCCTTCCCTGACACCCAGGAATAAAAGCTCTTTTCAACGGGCTCCTTTTTTTCACAAGAGCCCTTTCCCAGACCTTTCAAAATTAAGATTGCCCCCCTCTCCTCTCTACCCCCTAAAAAAAAAAATTAAGCCAATTCTCGCAGGATGCCTTTTTCTCCGGCAGGCCTCTCACTACCTGTTTTTAACTCCCCCGGCCCGAGGCGGAGGATGCTGTCACCTGCCTTCTGCAATCACACGGGTGACAGCACAGCCGAGACCACCCTTTCTCACCAGCTGCCAGGGGCCTGTCATCACGCGACCTTCTTTCCCAAGAACGCATTTTTTGGGGTCACAGCGGAATCCCCGGGTGTGATCAATGACACTGTGAGAGAGTGTGTGTGTGCGCGCGCGCGGACACGCGCAGGGCCGGGGAGCCGGGACATGGAAGCTTTTGGAGAAGGTGACCGAGGCAGACCGGGGTGCGGAGAGACTGCAGATTCTGGGTTAGAGGTTCAGAAAAGCTCCTATTTGAAAAGGGGGAACGAAAAATACACGGGGAGGACAGCACATCTTGAACTTCCGAACGCACAGCGGGGAGGACCTGGTTGCAGGCAGGGACGCGGCACTGCCACGAAGATGGTCACGCGGGCGGGTGGGCGACCACACACACACACACACACACACACACACACACACACGCACGCACTCAGAGCGAGCCGCGGATGGATGGGCGGATGAATGGATGGGTGGGCGGGTGGACTGATGGCAGCACGTCTGCATCCCGGCGGGGATGCGTGTACTTGCCTGAAACTCAAGGATTTGGTCTCGGCTTGCGAGTCCTCCTCCTCCTCGGGGTCGCCCTCGGGCCCTCCGGCCTCGGCCTCGTCGCCGTCGCCGCCCCCGCCGCGCACCGCGGACCACGTCCACTTCGCCCACTGCACGGGGGACAGGATCTGCCACGGGCTGAACGCCATGAGCGCGGGTCCTCCGGCTCCGACTCCTACGAGGTGGGGAACGGGAGAGCTCCTTTTCCCCCCCCCCCCTTTCAAAATGGAGGTAAAAACGGTGACAGGCGCCGTTGCCAGCGGAGGAGGCGCGGATGTGGTTAAACGGGCGCCGTCGGGGCCGCGGTTGGAAGCGCTTCCTCTTGACCCGCAGGCAGCGCCGCTTCCTCCCAGTGAGTCCTCCTCCTCCGTCCCCAATGGGGCGGCCGCGGCGGCCCCCTGCGCCCGGCGACTCCCTCCGGGAAGATGCTGGTCCTGGGGCCTCCTCAGGGCCCCGGCCCGCGACGCCCGGCGGCAGCTCGGGGACTCGGGGCGCTCGGAATCCCAGGTCCCGCTTCCCCGCCGGCGCGCTGCGCATCAGCTGCCGCGGGAGCCGCGCCCCGGGAGCCGCCCCCTCGGACCGTACTACTTGCGCGCGCGCGAGAGGGGTGGCGGCCGCGGCGGCCGCGCTTTGATGTCTGCGGCGCTCCCCCCGAACCCCCCCGCCGCGGCGCCACGCTGGTCGCGTCCGCACTGCGGGCAAGGGGGCTTCCCGTCAGAGGCTGGGGGCTGCGGGGCGGAGGACCCCGGCACCCAAAGGGCTCCGTCAGCGTCCCGAACTGGGAAGATCCATTTTTTTCTGGGTCCGCGCACGCCGGACCTTCCCCTTTTCCCCTTTTTATTTTTATATTTCCTTTAGGACGTTGCTGATGATGGATCGCACAGAATTTAAGCCCCCTTATTAAAAAAAAATTTTTTTTTTGAGGCCGCCTTAGGCTGGCGTTTTCCCTCCCCGATCCTGACAGCGTGGAAGATTTCAGCCCGGTCACCTTCAACCTTAGCACCCCAGGATTTGGATAATCCGTCAGCAATGCTGCAAGCGTTAGCCAAGGACTGGAAACTTAGATGCTTGGTCTCTCCCCAAACCTCACTCGTGGGCGCTTTGGCGGCCAGGTCTTGGGTGAAGGGTGCTGGATTACCCTGTGAAATGATAGCCTGATCGGTTTCCCATCCTTTTGTGAGGCGTCCTTTTCATAACTTCCAAGTCTTTGCTTTCTGACTTCGCTTGCTGCTCCACAGTATGCCAATGAATGGGCCGCCGGGCGAAGCAGCCTTCAAATTAAAAACCCTCTTCATGTTGGAAGGCAGAACTCTCGGAGGGCTTCTTCATTGTAGGGATGGCTCCTCTGCAGAACACCAGGCTCTTGTACTGTTATAATTTCCCAGGGGTATGGTGCATCCGTGAGGGGGTTGCAGCTCCAGAACTTAGGGACAAATCTTTGTTGCTGAATCAGGACTGTTTAAGCAAAAATAATGGGAGGAGCGGGGAGGGGCGCATGGCAGGTTGCCTCACCATAACAGAAGGGCAGGGGTTTGCCCGAAGTCTAGATGAAAGGGTTGGGGGTGTCGGGATGGGTATAGAATTTATCCAGCATCTTCCCAGAGGTAAACACAACTGTCAGGAGTGTTCTGGAGACTATGAAGAGGTGAAGTAAGCAGGAGTCTTTTTTTTTTTTTTTAGGTTTACATGACTATACCACCACACTATCCAACTGTATTTTTAGGTTTATGGTACACCACATAAACCTTTCGATTATAAGGTTCCCCAGGTTCCGGTATTTAACACAAGTGTTTTTGCTGCCTGGAAATAACAGTATCCCATGACAAAGAGTTACTGGCACGGCCTAGGTCCTGTCCATTCTTCCTCCTGAATAGTTCTCAAATTTTTTCATTACTCAGCAATGTCTCCCAACTGGTTCTACCACGGATTTTTCTTACCCCGGGTCACTGCATGGCTGATCTGTGGCTTGTACTCTAGTCTTGCTGCTTCTGCCACTCCACATTCCCAGCCTTTTGTATTCCTAGCCATCATTGGCAGAGAATTGGTTCTGATCCTTTGCTATGTCCAAGAATCATCTGGGGCACGTCTTTAAAAGCACAAATTCAAAATACTGGCAGGATCTAGAAATCTGTATCTTTACCAAGTGTCCTGGGGAATGTCACAGGATACATTTTGGGGAAAATGACTAGTTTGAACCAACTAATTGCTTCCTCCGGAACAATATCCCTTTTGCCTGCAGTTATGCATAGTCCTCCCTCCTTCCTTTTTACTATCTTTCTGCCCCAAACATCCAGAAAAACTTACTGTGGCCCTTAGGTCATTTTGAAAGGAGGCACTATAAATAGTTATACCAGGACAACAGACATAAACAAGGGCATCCCTGGATGTAAGGTCACCCTACACTTAGCATACTATATATAATATATTTGTTTACTTCTCTGCCCCACTCTGTAAGCTTTAAGTGGCAGGGACCAACCACATTGGATTTATGATTCATTTTTGTTTCCCCAGGAATTAGGATGGCCACACATTCCGTAAGTGTTTAAGAAATGTGCAGAAAAGGAATATTCTAGTTTACTAATGGACACATGAGTTAGCTAGCGTGAAAATTTCCTAAAATGTGACTCCTCCTGAAGAAATCAAGGTTTTGAACCAGCACAGAACAGAACCTGGGACAACTGATGGCCCCAAGAAGATAAAGTCTGGCCTATACAGCAGTTTCTTGAAACTCGAGAAGCAAATGCTCAGTGTCTGAAAAAGCACTCCTCTGCAAGCTCCTGCACTCAATGTGGACAGCAATAGAGCAACTGCTCCACAGTTCAAAGTGATTGTACTGCCTAGAAGCACAACTAAGGAGACTGACTGATATGTGGATTTTCTTGCAATGCTGGGCAAGTGGGCAATGTTTGACAACAGGCATTCCAACCAAAGTAAACAATCATTTTGCTGCTTCGTCCTCAACTTCATGGAACGAAATGCCTGCAAATACATGACCATGACCATAAGCACAGAAAGGACCCCATCTGTTCTCTTCCTTCCTCTGCCTCCTGTCCTTCACAGAAGCTCTGGATCAACACACCATGAAAATCTAAAAGATAACTCCTTTGAAACACACCACAATAGTAGCCAGGCCAGGCACAGACTTTGAAGCTAATGGGTGCTCCGGAAAGATCTGGGAAATGGGTCTTTGAGGTGTTAAAAAAAAAAAAAAAAAAAAAATATATATATATATATATATATATATATATATATATATATATATATATATATATATATATATATGTAAGCCAGGTCAAACAGGCACACAACTATCCATTCAGTAGCATAACTACTGTGAGAATGCCCATGGGAACATGGCAGGAGGTGAGGGGCAGAGGTGGGACGGGGCCTAGTTGGGAAGGATCCTGTACACCTACCTGTTAAGGAGTCTGAACTTGATCCTTTAGTGGGGGGAGCAAGCACAAGTACCTACCTTTATAATATAAGAGAGTGACAAGGCCTGGGTGGTAGCTATGCCACCTGGAAAACACTGCCTTGGCTAAGGGGCAGCCCTACCCAGTTCCTGGTGCCCAGTGTTGCCACTGAACAATTTTCCAAGAGAAACCAAAATCCTGAGTTTCATAAAAAGTCTCCAATCTTTAAAGTTCTCACTAATTTAAGTCGTCTAAAATTTTGTGGATGCCAACACGGTGCATGACAAACAAAAGCCATCTACCTGTGCACCTGAGTGGCCCTTGGAGCCTGGAAGGACGGAGCGAAGTCATTGGGTTTTGAGCAAGTAACATTTCATTTAGAAACTCATTCTGGCCATAACCGGTTTTCTCAGAGGATAGAGCATCAGCCTGAGGACTAAAGGGTTCCAGGTCCAATTCCAGTCAAAGGCATATACCTTGGTTATGGCCATATCCCCAGTGGGGGGTGTGCAGGAGGCAGCTGATGGATGTTTCTCTCTCATCAATGT